TTTTTTCTGTTGCATGCGAGTGACGCTTAAAAGGTTTGATGGCCTACAAGTGACTCTCTCTTAAATTTTTTTTTGTTTTTTTTTTTTACACCCTCCCCTTGTCTTCCTGATTGTGGCATAATTTTTTTTGTTTCCATCATCTTAGTCGTTTTTTTTTTTTTTGTTTTCCCCACCTTTAACGTTGGTTCCCGCGACGGGGAAGTACACACTCCTGTTGTCCCTACGACTGCTTCCACCACACCTACCGCCTCTGCCACTTGTGCCGCTTCTTCCACTACGACAACTTGTATGTGTCCCCTAGCATCCCCTGTACCCCCGCGTTGACCCCGAGCGCTCCCCCCCCCTCCCCTCATGGCGTGCACTCCCCTGCTGAGCGAAGAGGACCTGTACCGGTTCCGCACGAAGCAGTGCCTGCGGCTTGCCAAGGGGGGGTGCGAATTCGGGCTGGACCGATGCCAGTACAGTCATAGCGCAGAGTGGATCAGGAGGTGCCCGTACTACATTTCCCTTCCGTCCTACCTGAGGTACATCCCTGTGGCATGTCCCTTTTTTACGAAAAAGGGAAAACAAACTGACCAGGATGAAGAAGAAAGAAATACCATTTTCAGAAACTCCCTATTCCTCACAAACAAGGATGGAAGTGTGAACAATAATTTTTACAAATATATAGAAGAGAAAAATCAGAGCAAGTGTCCACTAGGGGTTGAATGTCCATTGGCTCACAGCAAAGAAGAAATCGATTACCACCCTCTTCTGTACAAAACGAAAAGGTGTGAAGATTATATGCAAGCCAAATGTAATAGGTACTACTGTCCTAATTTACATGGCCTAGCGGAACAAAGAAAAATAAAAGAGTACTTTATCCCCTTTTGCAGCAAAATAAATATCCCCCCTTACCCTAACGTTACCGTTGTCAGTAAAATACAATATGGTTCATTTAAAAGACAGAATCAGGGAAGGAGTAGTGGCAAGGAGATTACTTCAACAGAGCAAGGGTGTAACTCTTCTTCATTTTCCTTTAACTGCTCACACGGCAAAAATAATAATCATTCTTATAGGGGTGGAAACAGAATGACAATTGCCAAGGGGAATAGAAGTGTCGACGTGAACTATAACTCGATTAGAATACCCTACCAGGAGAAGAAACTCTCTTTACACGACACTCCAAATAATGAAAAAAGACGCAGCACCTATTTCTATGACCAACATATGAATACCTACCAAAATACCTTAACAAGGAAAAAAAAAAAAAATTCCATTTTCTCCTACCTGAACAACTATGATTATAAGTACACGTTATACATAAACATTTTGAAGAAATTTATGCACCTTTTCAACCTGGACATATCTGATATGGACTCAGGGGTGCACTTACCAGAGCATTTCGCTACTCACTTGGAGGGCTACTTATGGGGGAGCGACGACCAGGTGAAGAAGAACCCCTCTGCAGAGAACGCTACCTCACCCCACATATGGAACGGCACGGTAGGGAGCCTTCCCAAGGAGGACAACCACAACAGCTGCTACCACAACCACAACGCAGTGGAAGAGAAAACGGACAAGAATATTTTCCTGAACAAAAAATACTGCCATATTTTAAATCATATACTTAACAAGAATCTGGAACTCACGAAAAACAAAATAAGAGAAAAGAATCACTCAGCCAAAAGTAGCTACACGGACATAGACTACATGCACAAGACGACCTCCAACGATAGCAGCAACGTCTGCGCATCTTTCACACAATATTTGAATAACCAAATCGTGGCCCCAGAGGAAGACGATAACCAAACATATGAGAGCTTTTTAAATTTGCTCACCCATGTGTTGTGCTTGCTTTACTTTACCACTGACTCCAGGGCGCACTCATCATTCGACCTCTACACGCATGAGCTGGCCAAGCGGGTAACCAATCGGGCAACGAATGGGGCAACGAATGGGGCAACGAATGAAGCGCGTTCGCCGCAAGCTCCACCCCACCTATGCGTAGCTCTGACCTACCTCTACGCAGCTGCACTTCATACCTCTTTCTTTTTCTCCCCTTTGCGCGCAGATTCACTGTGAGAGTAAAAAAATGAGGGACATGAGCATGGAGAAGTACCTGGCCAGTGGCGTCAAGGAGCTGATTTGACTCACCAGGGGATGGTGTGATCAGTGGAAGGATTAGCACGAATGGCAACACGGAACTACGCCACAAATGTACTCGTATATATAGAGAGGAGAACAAAGGGATGGCACTTTTCCCTGTTGGTAAGTTCCCCCACACTCGAACTTCTCCCACGAAGATGTTGACCCAAAAGGGGGGGGGAATTAAGACATTTCTTGTGCATTTTTTTTTTCATGCGTCCCATTCTGTACGCCAATCTATCTTCCCCCCTTCGTTTTCGCTGTGTGCATATGTCTGTCTTCCTCCAATTGCGCAATTCTTTTTGTAGACCCAGTCGGGCTGCACCTCTCTCACCGCGCTCTTTACTTGGTGCTAAGTGTGCGCAAAATTTTTTAATCTAATATATATGTTAATTTTGTCGTCTTGTGTTTTTCCTTTTTTTTTTTTTTTTTTTGTCCGAATGGATTAGTAACCAACTTATCACTTTGCAAATTTTTTAAAATGTGATTAGCTGGACATATTGCTTATTATGCTTGCTCATTCTGTTGCCCTTTTTTTTTTTTTTTTTTTTTTTTTTTTTTTTTTGGGGGTGGGGGTAGTTCATCTGAGCGGCCAGCGAACTTGATGAGTAATTTGCGTCTC